ACTAACCTGGAGAAGACACATCGAATGCAAGAAACTACATCTAAAACTAAGGGCCAGCAGCTTCCACTGGATATTAAACATTCGATCGCCCCTGCCTCTGGACTACAATTCAAGCCTATCTGGACATATGGACTATCCTCAGGTCTATCACTGGGGCACATTGGTATATTCGCAACCACATACACCTTGGCATTCTTGCAGTAAAAGATGAAATTGACAAACAAAAGACGACCTACAAACAAAAACTCTCCGTGCACCCAAATCATCTCGCAAGAGGCTTGTCTCGGGTTTCCAGCAGAACCCGCCTTCAACGCAACGACCTTCCAACCCAGCAATAATTCTCAGGTCCGCATTACTCAGAACCAGTCTTATGACTGTTAGTTAGATTACTATGAGATTTGATACACTTATTGTTAGTATCCGAAAGGAGAATATTTAATAAATAAATAGCAAAGCAATAAAAAAACAAAATTATATATCATTATAACAAAGATATAGTCATTTAAAAACAAATGTTTGGCTTTACAAATAATTTAATAAATATTCTTGACCTTAATTTTTCATTTTATTTTTTACATTTTTATTTAATAAAATATAAATGATTCTTTGTGTCGTGAGCATTATCTGGTTGGTTAAGGGGGGGTATGGTATTTAAATTTTTTGTTGCCTATTTTTATACCCGTTACTCGTAGAGTAAAAGGGTATATTGTATTCGTGCAAAAGTATGTAACAGGTAGAAGGAAGCGTTTCCGACCCTATCCCTAAAGATTATAAAATGAAAGACCGATTTTTAAGGGGATACGGCCACAGCCCAAACCGTAAGAGCAAGAGCAGCCAAATTTTTTCACAGTATTCCATTGGGGGCGTGGGCGCCCACTAAGATCCGATATGTCCCCCCAGTGGCCCCAACCAGCTCCAACATCCATTATTCTGAGCAAAAAAAAGTTGATGTATTTAAGCTTAACTTCTAAACTGGTTGGAATTTCGATATTTGGTTTTTTCCGAATTTTAGGTTTTTAAAAGGCCTAATTAGAAATCTAAAAGAAATTTTGATATCCCCCATAATTTGGGGGCTACATTTAAAATTAACTTTTCGATTTAAAAAATCTAAACCGCTGCTCCGATCAAGATGATTTTTCGCTCAATAGTTATTCTATGGCCCAAATGCTTAAGTTTAATTTTTCAAGTTTTTAACATTTTTTTAAGTATTTTTAACGAATTTATTTAGATTTTCTAAGTCATTGCGTTGTATTTTGCGGGAGCCTGTCGAGAGAACGAAACCCAGAAGCCAAGAGAGCGACGGCCGATAGAGCAACAGCCAAGAAAACTGATGAGGGGGAGGGGTAGTGCTGCAGGGAAAGGGGAGGAATTTAGGAATTTAAAAACTTAAACTGCTGCTCCGATCAATATGATTTTCGATCAATAGTCAGTCCTGTGGATCAAATGCTTAGGTTTTATTTTTCATTTTGTAGCAGAAGTAAGAGCCTTATTTAATTTCCACCATGGAAAAAAATAGAAAATTACTACAAATTCTGTAAGCAAAGCCAAAATGTTTCCAAGTTAAATATTAATCTTAAGATTCGAACTTTTGACCAAATACGTATGTACATATGTATATTTGGATATGTTTTGATTTGCTTATATGTACAATACATGTACATACATACTATGTGTGTATGTTTCTATTCGAAAGTAGATAATGTGCTTAAATACAAATAAAATGATTTATTATACCCGTTTATCGATCAAATGTGGAATCTGAAAATAATACGTTACTTTGCTGTTTTTGTATTGGATGCCAATCTTTTACTGTGTGTACAAAGGTTTTCGTTTCATTCAAAACAAGAAATTTGAAAACAACAAATTCCAATTTACAAACAAGTATACATATTTGTGCGCAAATTAAAATTGCATTGATAACATTGTAACTGATAAAAAGTATACAAGCTCACGACTTTTACTTGGATCACTTTCATTTATTATATAGCTCTGCCAATATCCTTCTGATTCTCTCTCTTGAAGGATCTTCTACAAAGGTTGTTTACACAAAGGTTTTCAAAAAACGCCCAAATAAGAAATAAGAAAGTCCTGACAACCCAATTTCCTAACTCTAAACTAATATTAAGCGAACGAGCAAAAAGTCGTATACAATACAGTTTTACAAAGCGTTGGGGCTGAGATGGGTGAAATATTTTTTTGGATGCACCTGGAGGGACAGGTAAAACCTTCTTGACAAACTTATTGTTGGCATTTGATGGTTTAGAAGTCTCCTATAAATCGGTCGACTCTGTTCCTGATGCTGATAATGCTGTTCATTACCCTATTGAATTTTTAAATTCTTTGAATCCTCCAGGAATTCCTCAGCATAATCTGTCTCTTAGGATTGGAGCACCCGTAATGTTATTGCGAAATTTAAGTCCCCCAAAGTTATGCAATGGGACACGATTGCAGATAAAAGGTCTTCATAAGAATGTAATCGAAGCAACAGTATTTACGGGGTGCGCGAAGGGGGAAACAGTGTTTATACCCAGGATCCCATTAATACCATCCAGTCTGCCGTTTAAGTTTAAAAGGCTACAATTCCCTCTAAAAGTTTGCTTTGAAATAACTATAAATAAATCGCAGGGGCAGAGTTTGAAGCTGGCTGGACTAGATCTTAGAGAAGATTGCTTCTCTCATGGACAATTTTATGTCGCATGCTCTAGAGTTAGCTCTGCCAGTAGCCTTATTATTCTCGCTCCTGAAGGATCTTCTAAAAATGTTGTTTACACAGAGGTTTTAAAGTAATCATATTAATTAACATTATTAAACCTAGAAAGTTTCAGTGGAATAGGTCTAATTAGAGTTACCACATTAAAAAAAACGCACCAATTTCTCTACCTCAGGGGTGGTGTGGAAATGGGAAAGTCTTGACAACCGTACTCAAAACTAATTTTAAGCGAACGAAGTCGCGCCGGGTACAGCTAGTAAAGTATATATATTCTTGTTCAGGATCACTAGCCGAGTCGAACTAGCCATGTCCGTCTGTCTGTCCGTCTGTCTGTCCGTCCGTATGAACGCTGAGATCTCGGAAACTATAAAAGCTAGAAGATTGGCATTTTGCATGTAGATTTGAGGAGTTCCTACGCAGCGCAAGTTTGTTTCAAAATGGTGCCACGCCCCCTCTGACGCCCATAAGCCACAAGCTGTGGCCACAGTTTTGATGATATTATGAAAATTTTAATCGTTATGTATTTGTTTAGTCAATAAATATCGATTGGCCTAATAAAAGTTTGCCACGCCCACTCTAACGCACAAAAACCCATTAAACGCTGTAGCCTGGCTAGCGCCTACATTTCCGGCGCCATCTAACGGATGACTTCGGAACAGCTGACCAAGGTGCTCAACAGAGTCAACGCTAATTTCATTTGTTTTCATTTGTCAATACCGAAGTATATCCCAAGAACTATGCAAATCAAATCAAGTTAGCCAAATTGGCGGTCTGAGTCAAACAATGGCGTATGTGTGTATTTATGTAAGCATATACATATGTATGTATTTACATTGTACACAGTTGCAATTGCCCGGCAAAGATAACTCCTTTCAAACAAGAAAGGAAAGCTAACTTCGGGCGGAGCCGAAGTTGAAATACCCTTGCAGAATATTCTGCAAATTATATTCTCCAAAATTATTCATATGATGCATTCTCTAATACTAAAAAATCCCAACTTCCTAACTTTAAAAACACCAAAGTTATGGCATTTCCAATCGTTCAGTTATATGGCAGCTATAGAATATAGTCGGCCGATCCTTATGAAATTTGATATGACGGATTGATTCGGCAAAAATAAAACCCATAGAAAGTCCCAACTTCCTAACTTAACAAACACCAAAGTTATGGCATTCCCGATCAATCAGTTATATGGCAGGATTAATTGGCCAAATATAAAACCCATAGAAAATCCCAACTTTCTAACTTTACAAACACCAAAGTTATGGCATTTCCGATCAATCAGTTATATAGCAGCTATAGGATATAGTCGGCCGATCCTTATGAAATTTGGTACGTCGTATTGATTGGCCAAATATAAAACCCATAGAAAGTCCCAACTTCCTAACTTAACAAACAGCAGAGTTATGGCATTTCCGATTAATCAGTTATATGGCAGCTATAGGATATAGTCGGCCGATCCCGGCCGTTCCGACTTATATACTGCGTGCAAAGGAAAGAAGGGTGTGTGCAAAGTTTGAATTCGATATCTTTAAAACTGAGAGACTAGTTCGCGTAGAAACAGACAGACGGACAGACGGACATGGCTATATCAACTCAGGAGGTGATCCTAATCAAGAATATATATACTTTATAGGGTCGGAGATGTCTCCTTCACTGCGTTGCACACTTTTGACCAAAATTATAATACCCTCTGCAAGGGTATAAAAAACAAAAAAAAACACAAGAAGGCATATTTATATTAAGTTGAGTAACGGGTATCTAATACTCGAGGCAATCGACTATAGCGTTCTCTCTTGTTTTTAATTTCTAATTTTCCGATTTTATGTCGGCTTACCATATAGTCGTCCGATTTATATCAAAACGAAGATATAGTTTTTATTCTTGTTACTTGTTTTTTGTTTTCGTTGAAAAGTATATCACAGGTTGTTTTCTATCTTGTAAAATGTATATATTCTTGATCACGATCACTAGCCGAATCGATCAGTCTGTTCGAATAAACAAAGGGCTCTCGGCAAGTATACGAGCAAGAGATATGGGATTTAACATGCAGATTATAGTTATAGCTGCAGTGCAAGTTTCGTACACAAATGTGTAGATATGTATAGATTCTATCTATATCTATCGACATACCAACAATTTTACAAATCGCACAATTATTTCACAAGTAATTAAGAAAAAAAGTTCAACATAGTCAATAACGAAAGAAAACCTTAGTATACCCTAACGCCAGATGGCGAATTTTTTTTTTTTTTGCCATGCCAATAGATTTGCAGTTTCGCAAATCGGATTTCGCTTAAGAATATCAACACGATTTTATTGAATTATAAAACTAAATATGTCGCTCAGTCGATGGTTTATCAGACACCGATAAGGCAAAATCGCCCTACGAACCGGCAGAAGGAGACCAACCCAAAAATAAAAGTTGAATGGGTCCGCGCCTACGAGATGAACGTGGAATTGTCGCCGTTGGCAGAGACCGGGGCGAACTGGACGAGCGCTTTGATCCGACGGAGCAGAGAGGCGTTGAAGCCCTTGCACTTGACCGTGTACTCCTCGCTGGCCGTGATTAGCTGCGTGCAGAAGGTCTCGTTGAAGGTGGAGATGAGCAGCTGCTTGAGCTGCAAAATCTCGTCCTGTGAGGCGTTTAGCACGGACACGTTGTTGCCGTTGTCCAGGATGCTCTCGTTGATGGCGTTTCGGTTCTCGTTGGCGTAGACGACGGCGTTTCGCAGGTAGAAGTCCAGATGGATCCACAGCAGGTACAGGTTCTGCTCCGCTATAAAGACCGCCTGCATCAGTTCACTGCGCTTCTCGTTATGTCGCTGGCTCAAGTCCATGTAGCTTTGCTTGCCTTCGGGGGAAACCGGCATGGTTAGTTTGGAGGTGGACACACATGCGAGTGTGGACTACTCACCGTTGGGGCCAAAGCTGATGTTGGGCAGCGAGGCCCGCTGTTGCAGCAGATTGTCGGCAATGGACTTCTGCGAGAGGTAGTACCCGATGGAGCCCTTCAGCTGGTTGAGGATTGTATGCATGATGGCCGTCAGCTTCTTGCTGTCCATTTTGCCGGTGCTTTGAATAGATAGAAAGACAATTCAATAAGTATTAACTAATTACTTGTTAATAACTGGGAATGTTAATTCTTTGAAGAAAATATAAATGAGTTTTGAAGTTTACTAAAGAATTACACCTATGTGCTCTCTCTAAGTCAAGCGATTTCAAACATATGATTGTTTCTTATAAGATATATTCAAGCTGTCTGGTGTGTGGCTCAGAAAGCTGCGGATCCGCCACAGACGCTTTTTTAGGACTTACAGTGGCGTCACGTCGTTGATCATAGTGGTTAGCAAGTACTTGGAAGTCATGCTGTCTTTGACATGGCTGGTGACCGCGTTGCGGCAGTAGAGCGACAGGTTGGCGGCAGTGTCCAGGAAGTACTTGACACGCAGGGTTTTCGAGCTCTCGGCCTGCTCGCTGTGCTCCTTATCCTGCTGCAGCATCCGCCGAATGGTGGCCTCGCTGACGGAGAAGCGCCCAAAGACTACGATCATTAGCTGCTGCAGGCGGCCCAGACGGTTGCGCAGCTCCAGATCGTTCTCCACATCCAGGCTGTCCTCCAGAGCGGTCACCTCGTGCGTAGTGGTGCGGGCGAATAGATTGGTGATGGCGGCCAGCTGCTGCAGATGGCCCAGGTCCATGAAAGGGGTGGCCGTGCGCAGCATGGCCTCGACCATGTCGATGTGGGCGAACAGGAAGTTGAGGACCTGCAGGGCGGCGGAGTTGTTGCGCGATCCCAACGAGTTGACGATGGCGTCGCAGAGGGCCAGTGCCGGCAGCAGGATTGCTCGGAAGCGCTCGTCGATGGCCGGCAGGAAGGCCTGCGGCTCGTTCCGCTTCAGCTCGCTGGCCTTGAGGTCGGGCTGCAGGTCGTAGACCCGCATATTCGACAGCACACCCAGCGCCCGCTCGGCGAGGAGCAGTCGGGCGCCCACTTTCGTGTTCGCCATCCGCGTGAGGAAGGCCATCCGCGACTCGTACACGTAGAGCGCTCGCAGATGATCCGGCACTGGCTGCAGGATCCCGCCCAGCGCCTCACTGGACTTGCCCAGACTGTCTAGCATGTGCTTGAGGTAGCCGCGCGTCGCCACGAAGTTGCTCAGCGTGCTCACCGCATGCAGCTCGGAGATCATGTCCAGACAGGCCAGCGCCAGCATCCGGCACACGTCGTGACCGGTCACCGCGTCGTGGCAGATGGTGTCGATCAGCTTCTCGCCGAACGTTCCGATCACGTCCGTGGCCATTACCTTCAGCCGCTGGCGGTCGTCCTGCCGAGATATCACCCTGCGATAGGATAAGGTAAAAGCTAAATTAGTGCCAAAATACTTTATCACTGGTCTGAAGGATTATAGTTAAGGGATTGGGCCAAACTAAACACATTTACCAAACGTTAAATGTGTTAAATTTACCAAACGTTGGTAATAATACCAAACGAATTTGTGTTCTTTAAATTATTAAACAGCATGGCCAAGTGCAACCATTTCCGAAATCGCTGATGTGGTAGAGATTCGGAATATGTTAAAAAGTATTATTTCATCAATGTAAAAATAAAGTAACATTTTTCAGTGTTAACTATTGGGAAAATTAATTTAATAATAAGCAGGGCTTCATGTCTATAGAGAGTAAATTACGCGGAGTCCAGCCTTAGCTTTGAATAATCCTTTGGGATATTTTCGGAGTAGTTTAGTAAGTATTTCGCAGTACTTACGTTTCCTGGTACTCCAGCTGCTCGTCGGTGCGAAGCCGCTTCGCAATCCGCAGGCAATTCAGCAGGGCGCTGTACAAGTTGATGCGCAGCTTCTGCGACTTCACCTCGCTGATCATGATCCACTCGACGAGGCTCTTGAGGATGAACCGTAGGTTGCTGCTGTTGGCTCCGGCCCCGCTTTCCCTGGCACCTCCGCCATCCGAGCCATTGGCCAGTCCGTGGCCGAGGCTCTTCTGCCCCAGAATCAGCTTGGTCGCCTGGGAGTCGGCGGCGTTGCCATTGGTCAGGGAGTCGTCGGTGGCCTGGTCCTCGAACCGCTGGTCCTCCACCTGGTAGCAGCAGTAGCGCAGGTTGGCCAGCAGCAGCAACACCGTCTCGCTGACCTGGATCGAGATCTCAATGATGGGCTGGATGGGCTGCACCTTGATCAGAATCTTCTCGATGATGTCGACGATGTGCTGGCGTCGCAGGGCCACCGGCAGCACTGCCTCGGGCATGCTGCTGAAGAGCACCTGCACCAGCTGGCCCCACGCCTCCATGAAGGCCAGCGTGGCGCAGCGCTGCGTGCGCACTCGGTTGAGGTTGACGGCGTGCTTCAGCAGCAGCGTGATCTCCGTGGAGATGGCCTTCCGCTGTCCGCTGACGATGGTGCTCTGCACCATGCGCAGCTCGTCGTTCAGAATGTCGTGAAGCTTGCGCACGTTGATCAAGCTCGCCGGGGAATTGGCTGCGGCTTCTGCGGAGGACTCGCAGTCCCGGAGCAGTTGTTTGGTCAGCTGCTCGTCGAAGAACTCCAGTCGCGGCTGACTGAGCGTGTCAATCTCCAGGACGAGGCAGTCGAGCAGCCTGTTGGCATGCAGTCCCTGCGACGTCTCCTGCAGCAAAGGCGGCTTCAGGGCGCTGGCCCCAGTTCCCGGAGCTCCTGCTGGTCCCGAGCCCGATCCAGAACCCGAGCCGTTTATCGATCCTCCGCCCGGCAACAGGTCCATGGCGAAGAAGGGCGCCGACTGCGTCATCAGGCTGTGACCGAGCTCCATCGGCAGCCCGTGGGCCGAGCGCTGTGCCTCCGAGCCGTTGCCCATGAGCAGAATGTCGCACAGCAGGTTGTAGCGCGTCGTCTGGCCATGAGTAGCCGCCAGCTTGACGTCGATGGAGACGCAGTTGAGCAGGTGGCTCATGGCGTGCAGCACGTGGTCCTCGCGGTGCTGGCGGAAGGGCAGGGAGTTGAGGTGGCGCAGCAGGAAGTCGTTGCACGTCAGTCGGAAGTAGCGCAGGATCGTCTCCGTGGTGCGGCGGTTGGCGCAGAGTCCGTGGAACAGGTGGTAGATGCGCTCCACGATGTTAGTCGTGTGCTCGCAGTACTCCTCGCTGTGGCGCTGTTGCTGTAAGATCGGAAGCAAAGGGGTTACTGGATAAAGCATATTATGGTCGAAGGGTCGAGCCCACCTCCAAGTACTTTTCCAGGAGCAGCACCAGCGAGTTCACGCACGAGCAGTGCATCTCAATGCCCAAGTGCTGCTTCTCGTTGGCCATGAAGTCGCGCAGAACGTCCACGCCGAGCAGGAAGTACACGAAGTTTGGCAGCTGCTGGCTGAGATTCGTCTCGAACAGCTGAACGATGGCCTCCTTCAGTTGCAGCTCGATGCGCGGCGGCTTGCGCTCCAGTGCGGCCTCCTCCAGACTCGAGTCGAGTCGCGACCCCGCCACAACATCCTCCCGCTCCCGATCCTTGTCCTCGTCCGCACCGAAGCCCAGGAATGGGACATGGTCGTTGAGGGCCAGCTGGTCGAGCAGCTCGTCGCTGTACTTGGCCACGCCCACCTCCATCTCCAGGCACTCGACGAAGCCCTGCCGGATCTCGAGCTTCTCATTGCTACCCTGGGCGTACATGCTGAGGATCTGGGCGGAGACATTCGGCAGCTGGGTCACCGCACTCAGGATCTTCACGGCGGCCAGCGAGTGGCGCGGCAGCCAGCTGTTGTACGTCACAAACTTGACGATGTTCAGGACGTGGTCGGGTTTGCGGCTGCGAGGGTTCAGGTCCAGGAGCATGCGGTTCAGTCCGGACAGCATGATGGGGCAGTTGGCCGCCGAGTGGGTCTCGAAGAAGGCGTTCTGCTTGGCCAACGCGGCTTCGAGGAGCAGGAGGGCGTACAGGGAGCACTCCTCGAGCAGCTCCTTGCCGTGGAAGCGGTTGTAGTCGTCTAGCCGCTCGCGAGCCTCCTCCACGATGCGCAGCAGCAGGTTCAGCATGTCGGACTTCACCTGCAGCTGCATCATGACGTGGTAGCCGGGGTAGGGATGGTCGTCGCGCGCCTCCAGGAAGTCTGAGGCCCGCGGGCAATAGGTGGCCAGCAGGAAGTAGAGCAGTTTGAGGCACTTTGCCCCCACCTGCCACTTCTCGGCGGGATCCTTGTACGCCCGGTTGTAGAACTTGAGCAGCACCGACTCCACCACAAAATTGAGGTAGGCATCATAGCCGGGCTTCCGGGGGCCCACGCCCAGAGACTTGGGCATATAAACGGTCATCAGTGTGTGCAGCAGCTGCAGAATGCCCCGCGTCAGCTTGTACTGCTCCAAGCGACTCTCGTTCTGCTCGATCTCCTCCGCCAGACAGCACTGTCCGTAGCTGCTCGTCACCGGGACGGTGGGTATGATCTGCGAGTCCTCCAGGTGGAACCAGATGGCGCGCGCCGTCTCTTTCGACTTCGCGAGGGCTGCCAGCGTGAACAGGATTTCCGCCTTGAGCAGCAGCGGTGTGGAGCAGGCCACCAACCCGAGCAGCACCTGTGGCGGCTGCCAGTTGGCCTGCTCGCAGATCATGATCCGCGAGATCTCGTCGTGCTCGGCCACCGCCTGTATGATGCCCATGACGGCGACCAGATGCTCCGACTCGCGTTGCGTGATGATCCGCGGGGTCGAGCGGCTGCGGTAGATGGTCTCCCCGGCCACGCTGATGTTGGTGTTGAAATCGTTGCGCATCACACTAGGCAGAGGAAACACAGTTGCGTTATATGAATGTAGGAGCCCCCCGTTTAACCGCACTCACTTGTAGTAGTTGGCCAGCGTGGTGAAGAAGTGATCCCAACAGACCGTATAGGTGCCGGAGGTCACTTGGGCCAGCTTCAGCATGTTGAAGGCGCACCGCGCGGAGAACTCGGTGCGCGTGAGCCCGGAAATCATTTTGAGGTAGGACTTGAACAGGGTCTGCGGCAGCAGCTCGCTGGCCAGGCTGATGAACTTGAACAAGGACACCGAGCGCGAGGTGTTCTTGAATGCAGTGGGGAGTAGAACGCCGAATGTGGAGCCCGTGGGATCGCTGGGGCCCCAGTACTCGTTGCAGAGCTTCAAGCTCACCCGCGGATCGCCGTATAGCTTGGCCACGCACAGCATGAGCAGCTCGAAGTTGGAGTCCAGGTTGGGCGGCGGCTCGAGGCCCTCGTTCAGGAAGCTGATCACCGTCCGTGCCGACTCGTCTGCCCGACCACGCAGCTCCGACACCTTGGCGTGCATGAAGTCGATGAAGTCTGTGATGAGCAGGTGCACGCGGCGGTATATGAACTCGGTGCTGCAGGAAGAGAAGCAGGATAATGTTTAGTGCCCGGTCAAGCAGATAAATGTTTGATATCCCCAATGATATTTGCTCCTTGCAAATTGACCAGAATCGGTGGTAAAACATAAATCTCCCGAGATTTAAAATAACGCGTCTAAAAGTATTAAGACCTATGGATAAACTCAATAGGCCTAGTGCTTTCAATTTATACAAATTATCTATAAACCCGACCTACAGGTTGTCCGCAAAAACTCTAGTTCTATAAATTAAGTCTTTATGTTGCTTAGCTGGTTTAGTAAATTTCTAAACCTTTGTTAAAGGTAATTTGAACAGTGGTTTCTTAGGCCTGTTTTTAGTGCTCATGGAAAGCTGAAACTAGGTTTTTAGCTGCCAAACTGCATCCGTTTCTTTTAGTTTAAACCAATTTTAGCTAATCATGAGGACGAAAAACGGCCCTTGAGATAATTAATTATAAAGTTAATGTATAACTTTTTCATAAGAACGTATTTTAGTGGGAATTATAACTTATCATCTACTTTTGCTCGGAATTTGACAAGAAGTCTCTAAGATTGCCCATGTGATTTTAACAAAATGGCCAGATGCAAAACTCACGTGTAGACCAGGTCCTTCTCGAGCAACATGCGGTAGAAGAAGCCAAATACTTGGGCGGCCAGAGCCTCGTCGATGAGGATCTCATCCCGGTTGATGGTGGACAGGGCGGCGGCCTGCAGTTGCCCGGGGGCGTGGCGCAGACTGGCCAGCGTTAGCCCGAAGCTGTATGTGATGATGGCGTCGAGGCGCGGGGACTGCCAGCTGCTCTGCGCGTAGAGCGCCTCCAGGAAGCTATTGGCGAACTCCAGGTCGCTTAGGATCGGCAGACGGGCCGTGTGGGGATTGGTGAACTCGGTGACCAGTAGCACGGAGGTGTCGTACGCGTACAGCAGTGCCATCAGCATGATCAGGGTCACGTCGTCGATGTTGCCGTCCGCGTCGGTGGTCTTCCGGCTGGCCAGCTGCTGCAGCAGGCGGATGGCAATGGGGCGCGGCAGGCCGCGCTGGGCTGACCAATGGAACAGGGCCATGGCCAGTGCCCGTTGGATGTCCTCGTACAGGCCCAGCACCTGGTTCTGGTGCTTCTTGGAGCCGAAGGCGCGGTTTTTGGTCAGCAGTATGCACTAAACAACGATTGAAATATGAAATTATGATATTTTTGGGGGCACAAGAGCTTGGAACATGTATTTCACACTTTCGTGAAATTTCCAATGAACTTGTGAAAGTTCCATGAAATACTGAGGGTTGATATTATGGGAGCGGAATACTATTTAAACAAAAATTACATGCTCATTAAAATAATAAAAACCATTTCATAACTACTTAAGTCTAAGTTTCAAATTAACCAAAATTTATGTCAGCTTATGCCTTTGGTTATTTTTAACTTCGCTGTTGACTTGATCAAACTAGAAAATTAATTTTTAAGCGGCTAAAAATATAGTCTTCTGACTTCTATGAATGTTTATACGAATGTTAATACGTTTTGCAAAGGTTGTAAGGAATATAACACTCGGCTGAAGGTATAAATATATCACAGAAGCTCTGACGGTCTTTCGGTTTTACACCCACCTCCTTGTCGAGGTCCATCTCCTCCAGCAGCTCCAGCAGGCGTCCCAGTATGTTGGAGTCCTCCACGAGGCTCTGGGCATAGTTGGTGACCAGGCAGGTGATCTGTTATGGAGCGAAAGCAAGGGTCACTCAATACCAATATGGACAACGGACCTAGCCTTGGCCCCACGCCGCACTCACCTCCCTGGGCAGCTCGGTGCTCCAGGAGACGCCGCTGACCGTCTGGAACATGTCGCGCAGGGCGCAACTGATCGCCTTCCGTCCGTCGTAGTAGAGGAGCACCGCCACGAGGCCTCTGGGCAGACCTGGGTGGTGCAGCTGCTGCCGCTGGGCGGTGCAGAGCAGCTCCACGGCGAACACCTCGTCCAGGTCGAACATGTCCGAAAGGATCAGGGACTCGTCGACCAGGTCCTGCGAGAGTTTGATCTTCCGCGACTGTCCCGGCAGCGGGATGCCCTCGTTGAGGGCGTTCCTCAGGTGGCCGCGGCTCTTCTCGTTCTTGGCCTGCCGGAATCGGAAACCCAGAGAGCATTAGTACAAATATCCCAAATAATAGGATTCTCGGGAGTCTACTCACCGGGTTGCGCAGGAAGTTGGTGAAGCTGTGTTTGTATTTCTTGAGGCACAGCTCCAGGTCCGAGGTGACGCCACTGGGATTGGCCACCGCCGCCTGGAAAACGCTGTACAGATGCTTGTACGGCGTCCACATGTCCTCGGTCACACCTGGGGATGGCGGGAATCGGTTAAGGGGGCTCAGTCGACTCGGGCGGCTTCCCAGTGACCAGGTGGGCCTGGCCACCCTACTCACCATCCATTTCACTTGGTTTCGCAGTTCTCGAGCCCTCGGCGCAACAGTATGGCTATAAAACGCGGCAAGTTTGCTTCGGTTGGGACAAGGCGCCGGTTTCCAGGGCTGGATACGTTGTATTCTGAAAAATACCATTTGCACTCGGTATTTTTGAGCATGTTCTGACGTATTTAGGTTTTTTGGGACTGGCAACGCTGCATTGTTTAAAAATCACATGAAAATCACTGTATCAGTAAATTTTTGCTCAGCTGTCAGCCGGTGAAAAACATAAAACATGTTTTAGGTGGCAAACCGTTGACAACTATTGCAGTTTTACAGAACAGCTGTTTTACCATAAAAACAAAACATTTTATGATTATTTTTAGTTTGTGGGTTTCAACAATTCAGCACCGCTGAGGGAATTTAATATTTCCTTGGTTTTAAATACAATAGGCTTAAAAATAAATATATATGATGAATAATATCCGCTTTGGAATTTATCGTAAATCTTGGAGTTGGATTTGCTCCCTTGAATAATTTCAATAATTATCATAACTATGTTTATTTTTTAACGATTGTTTGTTACTAAAAAAATGTATATATATTTTGTAAGAATCGATTTAAAACGACAGCCATAGGAAAGTTCAACAAACCATGGTCACAAAAAACAGGAAGACAAGAAAAACTGAAGTGCATTGCGTTTGTTCACTGTAAAGTGGTATCCAACAACATTGAAATAAAAGAACCGAATTTTTTCACAGAATTGCAAGACCTAAAATCTAAACTAAAACAATTAAAATTTCAAAAATCATTTAATGAAAAAAATAACGGACTTTCGACTGCCCTCTGGTAACACTTCCCACATCGAGTTGGCAGCCCTTCGGTGCACCGCATTTGCCGCTTAAGCGACTACGGCCACACCACACACAACTTCAGTGCGGCGCGGGCGGGGCGTTTTTCGTGAAAATCTACGCACGGACTTTTCGTAGTTTCCCGATAGTACTATCCGTTTGTTTTGTTCCGATTTTTTTTCTGTTCGACACGACCGCCAATCCCAGTTGGGAATCTAACGAAGTGCACAGTGTCCAAATCAAGTTGTGAGTGAATCACCAAATGGCCGTTAACTTGGGAAACTCCTCCTTTGTGGGATGCTGGCTGCCAATGCAAATGCACTCGGCGAGGCGCAACTACAGCAACAAAGCGGCCGAATAACTATAAGGATTTGTATTCATGTTCAAATCCATTCAAATAGGACTATATATAGCAATTGGAAATCCAGTTCGATTAAGAATCGTTCAAATTGGAATTGAAATTGGAACGGGAGTTGGAGTTGGGAGAGGCAAACTGCAAGTGTGTGGGGGTAGCAGTCACACAGACACACGCATACAGTGACGCCAGTGCATAAAACTCCAAATTCGGCTCTCTTCGTTTTTATTATTCTCTCTCCCGTTCGTTCGCCCACGCAACGCCAGCAGAGAAAGGGAGAGAGCAAGGGAGCGAGAGCGACCAAGGAAGTGGTTTTTCCACCGAAAATATGGACAAAGGCAAACTGCAGAGTTAGCTGAAAAAACCAGACACAAACAGAAATAGTGGTTAGCTGCGAATCGTTGAAATTCAAGACGGATCGCTATCGCATTTCTTCAATTATGTCTGTTTCGCTTTTCATTCCGCTGCACTAAACTAAGCGATCGCAACACAAAGAGCGAGAGAGAGTACGACTCCCACTCCATACGCCCCCGCACACACACACACACCCCCCTCTCACCCATAATTACTATGGATTGTGGTGGTATTGCGGCACATCAACAACAGCAACTACAACAGCAACAACTGCACTTACTCCAGCAACAGCTACAACAACAACAACAACAGCTGCAGCAACAACAACACAACCTCGAGGAAGCAGCAACAATAACAAATGTAAGTATCTCCCAAGTTTCTGTTTCTCCGAATGTGTGTTTGTGTTTCTCAGTTATTTCCTCTGTACTTCATAATTCGTTCCTACACAAAGAAAAAAAATGTCACTCTGGAAAAATCGTATGAAAGAGTACACAGAAACTAAAACAGCAGTCTAATTACCTATTTTGTACACTACGATGCATTCGCTTGTTGTTCACTTAAGGTGCCATTAAATTTTAAACTCTTTCGGTTTATTAGTATTGAGATGTTTGCTGTCAATCCTTTTATATATAAAATAATAACTTTGGTATCTGGTTCGAAATCGTCAATATATTTTAAGCACATTTAACTTTGATCCTGATGGGACGTTACCCTTTTTTAAAAACAAATTTTAGGTTCAAAGCAATTAATTTAGGTAGTTATATTATGATATGTAAAACATATAATTATTACAAAATCAGTGATAATGGAAAAAATTAGTTTTTTGATTAAATATTGGAAAACTTAATTTTCAAAACTCAATTTGTTTATTTAAATATTATTTATTTCCAAAAATATATATTTTTAAAATAATATATTTAGTTAAATTGTAGGGTCAAATCTTTTTCTTGTTTCATTTTTCATCAGGCGAGTGTAGGGAGTGGATTAATTAATCTATAGACCAGCTGCTGGGGCAATAACAACAACTCAACACTTTTTAGGCCCAACAAAGTGCCGACACATTAATTGGTGTACTAACTTTTTCGCTCTTTCTTTTGCTTCTTTCTCCGTTGTTGCCCCATTACTTTCACCGTGCATAAATTCTGAAAGAGTTCCCGATCGCAGTTCTTAAGTTCTGGGTTTGTTTATACGAGAGTGTGGCAACGAAACACAGAAAAACTCGATTCCCGATGAAAGACGACGTGCGATACTGCGTCGAACCCCCTTTGTTTTTGCCGCAGCAGCGGGTGCTGCCCCACCCCCTTCTGCGTCTTTATTTCCCATCAGTTTGTGGCATACCCTCGACAACGAAGGTCGATTGGTTTTTGTGGATTGGAATGGTAATATAAGAGAAAACTAAGGAAATCAATTGAGGGGTATCCTGTACAGTAACAGTATTATTCTCACTTTACGACTTAAAAACGATTTCGGATAAACTTTGACTTAAAAGAATGGAAAATTCTTAAACGTGATGAAACTTAAAAACCATATTAATAGGAATAAAGTTCCGAAAAATAGTTTTGGCATAGGTAGATTTAAAATAATGGAGCATTCTTACACCCCTGCAGGCAACTAAAAAATTATATTAATAAAAAAGTTTCAAAAATTTGCTTTGCAAAATTCAAACTAGACAGGTTTTCAAACATGATGTGTCGATTGCGTCGTTGATGTATTTACTGTACGAAAATCCTTTGTCAGAAATGTAATACTTTGTGCGATAACATAACAACACAACATCAGTGGCATACGCCGGGTATGAAAAACATACATTTTGTTATATGTTTATATTTTTAAGTCAATTTGGTTGACCCCGGCTGCAGTGTGAGAATCCCACGACGTGTTTGCGTGCACCTCAAGGATTCGCAGCAGGACATTTTCCACTCGGTGCGTGTCAAATTTGCTTAATTGCGCCCATAGGTCAGCAAAATTCGGCTAAACTGCGTTTGCCTAAAAATTTCTGCTTGGCAAGCACGCACAAAATTTCATTTTCCCAAAAGTATAATTCTTCACATCAGCAAAAAGGTAATGCGTATAGTTGAATAAGCTGTTGTTCAACAGCAATAAAATGTATAATGTTTAAAATAAAGAACTTCAACTTGCTAAACAAGAAATTTATAAATGACTATTGACGCAAACATTTTTGTCTATATAATCCAATTATCTATAGTCTTTTATGGGTTGAGTACATGGAGTGCACATTTTTTTTAACAGACGTACAGGATAACATTATGTCGCATTTGCAATTAATACTTCTTAAATTTACTATATCTATGTTATATAGTTTGTATTTTAAAAAGCTTAAATCATAGTATATTGCATGTTCAAAACTGACTCCCAAAATGCAATTTCCTTGTTTTTAACTTAAGTTTCGAAAAACTAAGAGTTTCAACTTTTTTATTCCATTTAAACTTTTAAAATAAAGTTAGTTTTAAAAAATACACTTAAAAGAATACCTCTAAACCGGCAGATAAATCGGCGTTGGCACCACCTAACTTTTTCAAGAAAGCGTGTTATTTTCAATAGAAGTGGTTGTAGTCACTAAGATAAGGAACATTTATTTCTTGATTTTCCTGCGCCAGATAAATATCTTTGATATTAGTTCCCGATTTCTTGCCGTGTTCGAACTTGCATCTGCCGTCAAGCCATGCCAACTTGATTGCATCCGTAGGCCGGTTGGCAGCCCCGGCAGCTCTCTCACGTTTGTTGTGTTTGTTTTGTGCCGTGCGTTGAGTTTGAGTGCGCCATTTGCGTTTCGACCGACGCGCGCAGGAGACGTGAGACGGAAACGCTGGAACGGCGAACCGAACACGAAAAGTAACGAATAACGAAACTGAACTCACGGAACGGCGGATGCGAGAGTGATTGGAAAAAAGAGCGCGCGCGGAATTCGAAGTGCACAATTATTCAATTTTTTTTGTATATTTTTTTGTTGACTTTGCGTTCCGTTTCGGTCCAAATACATCTTCTTTTTTCTTGTTCGCTGCATTTATTAAGTTCCTTAAAAGTGCCTGATCCATTGTGTTGTGATTGCCGCTGTTATATACACAAACATCGGAAGAAGACGAAAAAGCATTGCGCGGGTAAATGAAGCAGTAATTAAAATGCCTTTTCTTAATTAAGAGATGGGGACGAAGAAATTAAAAGAAACGGAGGAAGACAAAGGCAGGAGTTCTGTTTGTTTTTTTTTGTTCAGTTAATATCTATGCATTTTCCATTTTACCAGTTTTAAACCTGAGGCACAAGGTAAACATGTGGATGGAATTATCTATAGAGCAGGGACGACATTTTTAATTCTGCAGGTGGCAAACGAGTGATTTAAGTGTCGATTTTAGGTGCTCAGAATTAAGCTTTTTTCTAACTGTCTTTTCTGTCATTATTACATTGCCTATAACCTCATTCCACAGGGGCATTAGATTACCAACATAAACCAGTATAGATCAACTTCAACAATAAAGTACATTTAAGATGATTTTTTTTGTGTTATTATCATTTTTAAACTTGTTTCACTGGCACTAGTTCCTAAAAACCCAACATCTTTACAAATTCTACAAATATTTTAAATTGTCTAACTAAATAACTAAATAAAACTGTTTCTGATTTTGGTAAATACAAAATTTTACCAATATTTTTTTGTAACGTAGGCCAAATATTTACATAGGTATAGGGTAGCTCTCAATCGATTTTAATATTGTTTGCTCGGTCTTTAATTTGTTTCGCCCTCCTCTGTCCTTTGGCTTTTAACTTTTAACTGGAACCGGCGGGGGAGGTGGCAACCCTGTCACTATTTCGCTCCCTTGTGTGTTTGTGTTTTTGCCGGGTTTTCTCTCAGTCATATGTGCGTCACTACATCCCCTCCCACCCGCAAGGAGTCACCCGCATTGTCGACTCCTTGGCCACTCTCTATTCGTCCACTCCTTACTCTCCTCCTTCGCTAAATTGCTTCTGCACGTTCGTCAAATATTTGTTCAACTCTTTTTAATTACATTACACACACTCACGCACACGCACCACTTTTACCCCTTCACACGAACGCACCAAAAACAGATTGTAATTGCAGATCTCTCGCCGATTTAGCGAGAGTATGAGGAATGGGACCAGACCAGACCGAAAAGAGAGCTGCATTTGGAAAAGTGTGACTCACAATTCGTCGAAATTCTGTGATTGATTTTATTGGGAAAACCTAGACCAGTTTTCCGACCATAGCATGCCCATTAATTACACAGATTTGATGTACACATACATATATATAAATATATAAATATAGATATTATACATATATATTTATATTTTTATACATATATTTGTATATATTTACATATACATATATACATTAAAATTTAATTTGCCCTTTTTTCGTTTGTCATATACAAACAACGGTTTTGAGAGTTCCTAAACCCTTGCACAAGATATTTTAATTTGGCTTAAAAGTGCGTATTCCTGAATGGCATGACTAGGCGATCCCAATATTAGGACTTAAGGAATTATAATAGCTGGAGCAAGTGCAATATTCACATAGACTTTTATGAGAACGATGCATCCAAACGTTAGTTTAAGTTATCTCATTAAAAAAAATAAAAAAATTGCAAGCACACAAAGTTTTCTTTATTTTTTTTAGCCCGTACAAAATTATGTTGCAATCTTGTACAGACCATTTAAAGAGTTCTTTCACAATGAGTACACAAATGGGACAGATAAAGGCACTTACCATGTCACTTGGCTTCCATTATACAAATGTTTGTACATATGTTTGTATGTGTGTAATAGCGTAATATTTTGAATGCCACCCCTGATTACTTGAGTTGAAAACTTCCTATTTTAAAAATGTTTGCCCAAACATTGATTTCAAGAGGAAAGAAATCTTGATCTATAGATTTCAGGATTATTGAAAACTAATCTAATTTCAGGGAAATTATGTAAAAAACACTAAAATACTTACTTTGGTAATTATCCACTTGACCGAGTGATCCGTAATGGAAATGTACTGAGGAAAATCTGTTGCGATTGCATTAGCCCCTCTTTTCGTTTCTGCTATTTATTTTTTGTTCCCCAACCACCCACACATGTTTATTTCATAAAATCAGGCGCATACAAATTCGTAACCATGAAATAGGATTTTCGCCCACGAACATATCTATGAGTTTACATCCCAAAACATTGAATAATATATAGCTTAACAGAATAAGGCGCATTTGATAAATATCAACTTATGGTTTAAAAACATACATTTTTGAAGCTTTCAATTTCTTATTAATAATAATGAAGTGTGTATGTCAGTAATTTATGAAAAAATATCAATTTTATATATAAACAAGAAAGGAAAG